TTTACTGAGCTCATAAATCAAACCCCGGATGCTCTGTCAGTCAATGGGTAGCACACGGGAAATCAGCAACAAGTCATGTTTTTCCTGGTTGGACTTACGGGGCCTGCGGGGCTGTTTGGGTTGTCCCTGAAGATGCCCGTCTCCGTCACGCTGCTGGTCTCGTCCTTGCCATTCCCCGTCTGTATGTCTCTTCCTGCCGCGGCCTCGAGGACCCCCACCCTGCTTCTTGCTCAGGTCGAAGAAGAACTGATGGGCCGGCTCCTAAAACAAAAATACGGCAGGAAGGACAGAGAGCGGTTGGGTTTTCAAAATAAAACTGCATTACATACAGAAAAAGATGAATTTGCTTTAAATTTGCACAATTTTTTGCCTAAAATAGATGTTTTTGGGCCACTTTGTCCAACATAGCATGATGACAGTACTTTAACTGCTCTGTACCTCCTCCTCTGTGGCGCCGAAGCCTGTGTTTTGTTTGCCTGTCTTGTCTTTAGCCGGGTGTCTGTAGGGGTTTTCTGTCACGTCCTGCGGCTGCTTCACCAGCTCTGAAGGATCCATGGTCTTCATGGGGATTATGTTGAACGCGTACAAATACTGCAGCAATCACACAGAGAGAAACAGACAGATGGCTCAGGATAAAGGTCAGTGTAAAACTCTATGGAAAAGCCATATTTTAAACCTTTAGCCTAACATTTTGGCAAATTAAAGTAAGCCGAATTAGCTTTCAGGAGCTGCTGTTTGCAGTGTATCTATGCATGTACAGATGACTATCACTGGATTACTTTAATGCTGAAGAAAACTTAAAAACGTGATTATTCTAAGGCAAGTTCTGCAGTCTTTTTTCTTCCTATGATTTCTGATTGGATTAATCAATATTTATACAGAATGGATAGAGATAATGACATCGGGAGGAAGAGCGTGTCATGCTGAATCTAGAAGTATCTGCATCATATCAGTGTGTTTATATTTGACTGAGTTATTACTCAGAGAAGACACACACACACACCTTCTTCTTCGCTGGGTTGTTGACTGTTGCCAGGGCGATGAAGCGGCTGACGTGCTGAGCGTTTTCCTGGAGAATAACGTGATTCCTGTCGGTGGAGACGGAAACACATGAACAGTGTTGTCAACACGCACAGAGGTGGAAGACGCAAAAGTACCAAACGACGCAGAAATGCTCAGGAAGTAAAAAACATGAAGTAAACAGAGTCCGAGCCCTTCCTTGTTGCTGTGCGGTCTACCTGTATGGGAGCCTTTCATAGTGAGCGCCCTCTTGTGCAGCGAAGTGGTATCGCGGTTTCAGTTTGTCAGCGAGGTTTGCGACGGAGCCGCTTCCACAGAACTTTGTGTTCACTTCCTGCAACAGAAACACGAGAAAACAACAGAAACCTTAAAGCTTTATGTGTATACATATATATGTAAAATATTAATGTAGCAGCAAATAACTATACTATCTGTGTAAAGATATAGTGGAGTAACACAGCAGAGTTGGTGATTGTTGGAAAGACTAACAAATACTAAGAGTTTTACTTTGTTTGTTTTGTTTTGTCTCAGTTTTAAAGAAGTTATGATGCTGCAAGGTAAAAATGCCGTTTTTGTCAATGGGGTTTGGTGGCGATATAACAGTTATCTTCTGGTTGGAAGGACTGCGTTGCTGCTATTTCAGCCTGTTTCCTGGATATTTTCACATTAAACTCTGTGAAATAAAGGTTTAATTTGACCAAATCAGTGTTGGAAGTTGTTGAAAGGACAAACAAAAGGGTTTTTAATTACTTTTATTTTGTTTCCTGTCCAGTTTGAAGTGTGTTTTACGATTAACTCTAAGGTTAAATTGCTGGTTTTGTCAATGGAGTCTGGTGCCAGTAAATTTCTTATAATTACAACATTTAAAGTTCATTCTTGATCTTTGGAAACCGCAGTTCTCGGCTAAAAATGGACCAGAAATGTATCAATAACAGTAAGATTTATATGTTGTTCCTCGTTACCGGGTTGTTTCCGTAGTGCCACACCCCTCGGGGCCACTGTGACGTCAGCAGGATGTCGATCCCTCTGAACTTGGAGCTGCTGGTCAGCGGAGCCACGAGGGCCGACAGATCTTTGGAGGTGAAGCAGTGAGCCGGGGCCGGTTCCTGCTGAGCCTCTCGACCGCTGACGTAGGCGATCTGTAACCCCGACACGCCCGTGAACACACCTCGCCGACCTGAAGCGCACATTAGGCAACGTCTTTAATAACGGAAACGTTAATGTACAATTACAGTTCCTTTATTTGATCACTTCTCCATCGAGCAACCCGTTGGATGTTTCATTTACATCAAGTGCCTGTGATGTTATTGGAGAAGCTAACGTTGTCTTACCCAGATACGTGATGTTGTCAGCCAGCTCGCAGCCATCAGCGCTCGGGAAGTTCTTCACCGTCTCCTGGCTCGCTGCTCCGAGGATGTAGGTGTGGATGGGAGCTGAGGAGGCACAAAAAGAGACCAAACTAGCCACCGTGACGCCTTAAAATAACCCACATTCGTTAAAGCTGCTTCTTTCTCTTCATCTGCAGATGTTCGTACCTTTCTTGGCTCCGGTTTTGTACTGCTGCCACTCTGCTTCGGCCTCCGGCGTCGTCCCAAAAAACTCTCCAACGCACAGCAACAACTGCGGGAAAAAGTATTTATTATTATAGATTTTACCGACGTTTTTAATTTATCGTACTTCTGTAAAGTTTAATTTAACTGACTCACATCAAACTGTCCCGTCTTCTTCTGGATGGCCTGGACTCGATTGAACAGAGCGGTCAGCCGGCCTTCAACGTCCCCACACGCCAAACTGCAAACACACACATTCATTTAATTACTTTAATTAATTAATTTAATACTTCAGTCTGTGTCTTTATATAATAAACATATTAATTTAAAGAAGCTTTAGTCTCTGTTGGCTGAAAATGGATCAACTTCTATACTGAAGCTCAACACTGCCGAGTTTCAATTATAACAAATACATTTATAATATAAATTATGATTTAAATGGTGGTTTGTTTGTTGGTAAACATGTACAGGTCGATTTTAAAGACAACATTTTAATTCTGCAAACAAAATATGATCAAATACATCAGTAACATTTAAGAAATTTGAATGGATCTGGTTGTAAATCTCATATTATTATATATGTGATTGTTAATGAGAAACTTTCTCAAAATAATGACTTAGTATCTGAGAAAGTTTCTCATTATTT